AAACTAACAACACTGTTCTGTGTTCTAATTTTTAACCTAATTCACCATTTACTAATGGTCTTGTATAATTATTAATTACGTGCTTTTGTGGTCATTAAGACGGAATGTTGTTGAGCACACCCCAAACATAGTCCAATCTCAGCGAAATTTGGCTTGTTTCCATTTCTTATGAAGACTAGTTGACTGGGCGGGTGAGAGCAGAATATTTCAAAAGTCCAAAAATAAGAGCCACCCTAACATGCAATATTTGCTTTGTTAGGATGAATAAACAACAGTTGTGAAAGTTAGGCTCATGAGTTTGATGCTATGTAATCAACCACAAAGGTTAAGAAGAGGGTACACGGGTGAAGAGAGAGCATGTTGCAACATCAAGCGGAGGTGAGCCAGACGAAGACTACAATGAAGAAAAGGAAGAGTGCTAGACGCAGACAGCAATGTAAGCGGCAGGGGAAGGACAGCCATCTTATTACAGTAGACATGAGTCACAGACATTGATATGTATTTGGAATTCCCCAAAAAGTAGTATAAAAGGTCTGAGGAGTAAACCACTCTTTATGCTGCCTGCATTAAGCTTGAAGGACACCTGATACCCTATCGAGGGGCACCAGCATCTGCAATATTGCTGTTTAGAGTTTGAGTTTAGAACTCGTAGCTTAGCTAATTTAGTTTCATTTTTGCATTAACTGCTTTGTATTGTAACCAATAAAATAAGAGATTTTATTGTTACAATTGCCTCCCGTGAGACTTTACTTACAAACTGCAAACTGAGCCTCAAACAAGAACAACCAGAAGGGAGTCTTCTATGTCATTCCTGAAGTACTTTGAACCTGCAGGCGGGTGAGTACTTCATGGTTTAGGCTAAATTTGATTATCCTTACCCTACCTGAATAACCATAGAGTTAAAGGTGTAAGATAAAAGGACACACCGATTAACAATATTTACAACTTATTTGGGGTTATAACTGGGAGTATAACACACAATGAATTAGTGTTGTAGTCAAGACCACCTAAACCGAGACCAAGACAAGACCAAGACTTTTAGGGGCTGAAATCAAGACAAGACCAAGACCAATGCAGAATGAGACCGAGTCAAGACCAAGACCAAGCCATCGCTCCTCAAATCAATCTGAAAGATTATAATGAAACCCTTCAACTGTGGATTTCATTTGATTTTCGTTGTTGAAATAGCAAAACTTGTTTAAAATTGTGTCTAAAATGCAATTCACTTAATATTAACTTATTTGTTAATAAAATCAATATCACGTTTGCAATTGTGCTCATATTCGTGAAAACAGCTCTCTTGCTTTCGTAATTTTGCTTAATTATATTTTATAATATAAAACAAGATCACATACAAGTACATTTTTGAAATAATATCTTAAATTCTTTGGCCATTTGTATTAATTTTGGTGAAATTTTACTTACTCATTAAATTCTGACCCAGCAAAACAGTATCAAAAGAAATCAAATCAGAAAAAAGTTATTTCATTTTAAGCAGGACGTTGCCTGAAAAAAAGTGTGTGGGACGAATTTACATTTTATTAAAAGTGAGGGGGGACACAGCCCCAATGTCTTCAATGCCCATTGGAACTATAATCCATTATAACTGATTAAATAATGTAAATCAACAACATGTATATAAGACCATATACCTAGCAAGCTAAACGCTAAATAAAAGAGATGTTTCTGGAAGTCATAGAACTTGTTCTCAACATTATTCATCATTATTGTTAGAATATGACCCAAAAACTTTCAAGCTGGCTGTTACAGTTTTTGCCTATTGCTTGAACACTTTTTGCAAAACTTCGGCTCATTGTGTCAAACCTTTACACACAAGCACACAAGACACAACGCTGGGAAATAAACCATTCACATCTATGTCGAATTGAAACTCTGCTCTCAAAACCTAACAATCCTTTGTCAAAATGTCACTCTGATGACAAAATGATACACACTTGCATCATATGAATACACTTTCAGATTAGCAGCAACACACTAGTGTACTTTATATAAAACACTGCAGTCTTTAATTTTCACTGTTTTTATTCAGTTCATCAGTTAGTATTCTGTGAAGCTCAATGCAACACTTAGTTTTTGTTCTGTTTTTTTCCAACAAAGGTTTTCACAACAACCAAAAAAAAAGCACTGAAAGGTTACAAATGACATCAACTCAATACGGCACATCACAGTACTATACTATACAGTACAGTACAGTAAATGCAGTAATGCAAAAATAATACAAAAATAAAACACAAAAAAAACCACTACTGTAAATACTGAAAAACAGGCCAATTGTGCGTGGGTGGGATTACAGATCCTGCCGTCTGTTTGGGTCTGGCCACAGGATCTCATCATGTTGCTCTAATATCATCTGAAATATTGTTCCGTGCATAGCCTCTTCGACCATGTCCTACTCCTCTCTCTCTTTGTCTTCCTCTTCCTCTTCCTCTACCTCTTGCTCTCCCTGCCTCCATGCTTGCAAAGTTCTCAAAATGGCTCAACTGAGGCCTGTTTGTGGTTGGCTGATTGGTGATCAGTTTTGTAAGTAAGTGTTTTCAGGTGTGTGTCTAAGTGTTTTCAATCACCCAACGTGTGTTGTATTTTGAATAGATGTGTTTTCCCAATGGTACCCATGAGATTTCATTTATGAACGAAGTGTCTTATGTATGAAATAGTGTGTAGTGTGCGGGAGCAAGTGTGTTGCAGAATTGCAACTGAAGTGCAAAGCAGCGCTTTTGTTTAAGGTATGGTTACACTGTGTTTAAGGTATAGTAACAAAAGCTTCAAGTTTTGTTACTTTGGTCTAAGCATGTGTCTATAGTGTTCAAGCAATAGGCAAAAACTGTATTACAGTTTTTCTGAATTGCTAAAACACATTTCTCAAAACCTTAAACACAAATCCAAATACTCGAACTAAATTCACAAAACCTCTGACTCTTCCATCAAAATCAAACAATAACTGCAAAACCATTTTACTTGCACTCAAAATCAAACGGTGCTCTCAGATCACACACACATGAGTCAATAAAATAAACACTACAGACAGAGCATTCATCAGACACTACAGAGAAAAATGGAGAGCACAGCACCCAGAACATTACAGAAAAAAAGTATATTGTATTGAGTAAATTTTGCAATTCTGTAAAAAAGTATAGTAATTACAATTAATTACTAGTAAGTAAGGTGAATATATTGTATAGGCCTACTGTATGTACTGCAAGAATAGTATTGTGCTGAATATTGAATAGCACTGAATGTTTGTATATAATCAGCACTTGGATACCGCAAAAATACTGCAGTCCAACTGCAAAGGCCAAAAAGGTAAAATAAAACACTCACATACTGTAAGTTGTGCAACCGTAAAATCAGGGTCAATGAGAGATTCATTCTGTCTCAGCATCATGTCTTTGTGCTTGAGTCCGGCCTGAAGACTTTGTCCACATCACAAGTAATGTAGGCTTTTTTTGCTAGACAAAGAGAAAAAACCCTCTGGTGTGACAGATCCAGCCTCGAAAACAAGCTCTAAACCTTACTCTTTCTCTCCTCATCCTCTTCCTCCTCATCCTCCACTTCTTACATGTACTCTTCCTCCTCTCCTTCTCAGATTGTTTTCATCTATTGTTTGTATCATCATTCAGTCACCTGTGCCACTTGTGCACTCGTAACTGGCTCATATGTTGTACAGTTGGCTTGATCACATCATTAGAAACAAGTGTGAACAATTTAAGCTAATGAGAATTTGGTTCAGAGATTGGGGTTCAGTGTTTTAGCAATTCAGAAAAACTGTAAGCCTTTTATTAAAAACCTACAACTCGATTCTAAAGAATTAGTTAACTACAGACCGATTTCAAACCTCCCAGAACAACTAGAAAAAGTGGTATCGTCACAACTATATTTCTTCTTGGAAAGAAATGGCATCTGCAAGGAATTCCAGTCAGGCTTTAGACCACTTCATAGCACTGAAACTGCAATCATCAGAGTGACAAATGACTTGATTTTTCGATGATGGCTGCATCTCTCTATTAGTGTTAGTAGATCTCAGTGCTGCCTTTGATTATTGAACATTTTCTTGGATAGGCTTGAAAATTATGCTGCAATTAGTGGAATTGCATTGGCATTGTTCAAATCATTCTTTTCTGACTGTTATCATTTTGTAGCAGTGAATTAAGAGGTGCACCACAAGGCTTAGTACTAGGACCATTGCTTTTCACTGCTTACATGCTACACTTATGAGATAGCATTAAAGATATAGAGTTAGTTTTCATGGTTACACAGATAATACTCAGCTCTATATTTCTTTGAGGCCCGACAAAACATACCATTTCACAAAACTAATGGAATGCATATTTGATAGATAGATAGATAGATAGATAGATAGATAGATAGATAGATAGATAGATAGATAGATAGATAGATAGATAGATAGATAGATAGATATAAATTGGGATGACTAGTAACTTCCTACTACTAAATTTAAAAAAAAATTGAGATTTTAATTATTGGACCAAAAACCTCCACACATAATAACCTAGAACTCTGCTGAACATTTGATGCATGTCTGTCAAGTCTTTGTCATCAGTTAAGAACCTGGGTGTGTTTTTATATAGCAATTTGTCATTTGAAATCCACATTTCTAACATTTGCAAAACTGTTTTTCCATCTGAAAAAAATCTATAAATTATGATATATGCTCTCAATGTCAAATGTAAAAATGATAATTCATGCATTTATGACCAGTGACAGCTTTTGTACCTTTTTTTCTGAGTGTGGGTATATGTGAACATGCATATGTGTGATAGATTTCTTTCAAGAATGTGTGTGTGTGTGTGTGCGCATGCATGCGTGCGTGTGTGTGTGTGTGTGCTCTCATTGGCTGATAAGAACTGGAGGAAATGAATAATGGGTGTGGATAAAGAGAGAAAGAGCCAGGGAAGGAGGGGTGAAGACAAATGTAACTGTCTCTGTCGCTCTGCCAGTGTGTTACAGAACAACAACAAATCCACAACGTTCTGCACATCTTGTGGATTCTCCTCTATCATGCAGGTGTACATAGCTGAGACAGACTTATCAGAAAAGACAAAAGAGTGGAAGTTGGTTTCACTGTATGCACTGACAAGGAAGGACATTTGTTTGTTTTTTCGACATACATCCACTGGACTCCAAAAGCTGGCTGAGGAAGTATACAGTGAGGAGTCATCTTTTGGGGGACGTCTATTTTAGGATGCATGTTCCTCACATTTTCCCTGGCCACCTTTTCCCTGGGATGTAGTGAGGATTGATGGTTCATACAGGCTTTTCCCCTAAACATCTGCTGACTCTGGAAACCTGGCATCATGCCAGTGATGAAGGGACTGCTGGCACCCCAGAACACCTTCCTGGACACCATCGCCACTCGTTTTGATGGCACTCGTAAGTACTGGCACAAATGCACACACACCAAATCCACATGAGAAAGAACTTAAGATGAAAATGTGCCGTTTTCAAGGTAGCCTGAAGGTGAAGGTTTTTTCCTTTCTATAGCATCACCAGCACTAAATGGATGTACAAAAATAATGGCTCATCTCAAACAAATTCCTTGAAAACTCTGTCTTAAACAAACTTTCTGTTGTTATAGAGTCTTGCTAAACAAGCCAGTTATACTATAGACATGTTTATTGCAGCTACCTGAATTATAACACATCTGGGTTTGACACTACCATGGTAGCATGAAAGCAGACATTAAGTACATCTGATGAGACTGTGCGCTTTGAATCTGCATGTACGTACTTATATGTTTCTGGCATAAAAAATCACTTACCTGATATGAGCATTGAAAATTAATTCATAAATATTTACCAATATTAAATAACTCTCTGTGTTCCCAAGCTCAAACAGCATGATGCTAGCAATGCCACATTCATGGATTCTGTCCCAAGAGATTGCATGAACTGACCAAACTGAATATATTTTTTCACCATATTTAATAACTTACAGCTAACCAAAAAAATAATAAAAAAGTTTTTAATTGTAGCATTTTCTGTTAAAAGATATAGGTTACATTTTTACAATTTTGTGGGATGGCTGGATCAATTAGTGATTTTACTGTTTATTCAACAGCTAAATGAAAGCATATCATAAGCTTCAAAGTGAAAATAATTAACTGTGTTAACAAATAGTTGTGTCATAAATTAATCAACAATTCTGGGGTACATCTACATCTGTACTGTATTTCTGTACTACTATTATACATTATACTGATTACAGTACAATGTAAATATGTATATGTGTGCTGTATCCTGTCCTGCAGGTTAATACATGTAGTGCACAGACACCACATACACTTGTGTGTTTGTTCCTGTTTTATCATGGGAGATAAATCTCTAGTTTTGTTGTAGCAATAGTGCTCTCATGGCATAAGTCTTTGCGGTAAGTGTGTGTGTGTGTGTGTGTGTGTGTGTGTGTGTGTGTTTGTGTGTGTGTGTCATGGGAAAAGTGACAAAGGGACAAAGCTGTTTGTGTTCATGTAATCCTTTTACCTTTACATAAAAAGAACCTTCTCAAGCCACTATAGTTAAAAGGCTGGATAAGAGGTTATAATTCTCATTCATAATAAAACCAAGAACTGAATTGCGCTATATTGCATTGAAAATATCTATGTCTAATGACGCAATTCAACATGACACGAATCTCAAGAAATTTCATAAGAATATTCTTACTTAACAGTATTCATAGTAATACACAAAACAAAGGCAGCCATGCAACATTTATACAAAAACTAGAATACAATCCTCCCATCAGTGCTTTCTTACTAGTAATGAAAAGAAAATCCTTCACACAGCTTACAAACATAATCTCTTCTGTTAGATAACATCTCTCTCTCACACACACACACAACAGCATGCACATTCACAGCTTCTTATTTAACAGTATGCTATCTTACAAGATATACATGACCCAAAGACATAACTAATAAAACTACACATTTATAAAACATAATTAGCATTATTTATATATATATATATATATATAAATCACTGAATGCCATTGCTACGAAACTGCTCACACAACCTCAGTGCTTAATCACCTTGTTTTTTTTATTTTATGTGATGACATGAAAATGCTGGTAAAAAGTGAACCTTTGACTTGTTGGTGGCGCTGGAGGGTTTGAGATAGAAGATAGGGTTTGAGAAGTGGCTATCAGGACTGTTCAGACTGTTTCTATGAGTGTGCCAAATTTCACAACTTTTTACTTTCTATTGGCTGCCATTCATTACATTCTGTTTTCTTTTGCCATTATGAGAAAGGAAATGTTAATGATGTCTTAATAGGTCTTTATTTCTTAAAACAATTTAGAGACAGTGGTGTGTCAGTGATGTTAACTTCTCTGAGAGACAGGATCTTTCCTCGCAGTGCTGATGGGTAACAGAGCACCAGTGTACTCACAACCCAAAATAGCTGCTCTCTTGTTGCCGTAGAGACCAGCTTTCCTGTGCAGTTGTTGCAGTGATAAGCTTTCTTGTGCAGTAGTCGCAGTGATGAAACTGAGCTTTTGGTATGATTTACTGAAAGAACTTTGGAATATCTATTCAGAAAACCTGAATTACTATGATTGATTACAGTTAAATGCTGATCATTTTACTTATATTTTTTATAACCTTTAATTTTGTAAGCCCATATAATGTAGAGCAGGGCTAGATGTCGCACGGTTTTACTATAAAATAGTTTTGGCTGATGCAATATGACCCTAGTGATTGTGACTAGACCTCAAAGGATTCCCTCATCATGTAAGCCCTTTGACATTCAGGTTTTCATTTCTAACTAAGGTTGCTCACCAAAATCTAAACGAGTCTTTAATGTTACAGAATACTTCACCCAACTCTGATCCAGCTCTTCAAGCCCTTCATTTAACAGTGACGTAACTTGTGGCACTGTTGAAAGAACAACAACAACAACAGCTGCTAAATTTCTGGAAGGAAAATAAGGAAATGTACTGTATGCAACACATCTACGGTACTCAATATCTCAACATGATGACAACCCAACTGTCGACTTCTCACCTGAGATATCATTACCTTAAAGTTTGCTTTCACCATTTCCCTACTCACTTCAGTCGAGAGATTGGGCCACTACAGTTTGAGGAAACAAGGCTGAGCTTTGTACTGTAGGGATTACAGCACTTCTGTGAAGTTTTTTGAATAACTAAGTAATCCATGGTAATCAGTCTTCAAGCAACCGAATGGCAACAATGTAAACAAGACAAATTATGTTTCTACTCAAAGTGTGATCACAAGTTAGCCACATACAACAGCGACAGGGATTTTCAATTCTGGTTCGTTATGAGAGTGCTCCATGAACTGAACTGAGTGTTTTAGAAAAAGCTCACAAAATGTCGGTCCCTAGGACCAGGATTGAAAACCATGGCCAGTTTGTGTCCCTGCCCAATCCTCCACTACCCAGACCCTACTAAACCTTTCATTTTCAAAGTGAATGCATCAGATATAGGGTTCAAGCTGTTCTTTCACAAAGACAAGGTGATTCAACAAATCTTTACTTGTGTTTTCTAGTCTCATATGTTATCCCCTGACAAGCTGAACTATCATGTCAGAAATAAGAAGCTTCACAGTGACCTGGTTTTTGTCCTTGTTGACTGTCCACTTGACCCAAGGACCTATGGAACAAAGAAATCCAATAGATTCACACTGCTATAACACCCCAAAATTATTTTGGACTGGGTAGCTATAAGTTAACACATACTTCATCTTTGGTGTAGTGTATACAGGTGTTGTGTATACAAAAAGTATAAATTATATTTAAAAAGTATATTTTTATCAAAGTATACAAAAAGAAACAACTTACAGAATATTTCACTGTGCACTGCAATTATTAAACTAATACCGGAAATACGTCACGAGACATGGAGTCAAGTGCAGAAACTGCAAAGTGTGGGTATTGATTTGGAAATTATAAATCAGTACAGCAACAATACTGCACAAAACACAATACTTACAACTAGCTTTAGAATGTCTTTCACAATATTAATAATCCTGATCGCTCTTCTGTCCCACAGACAGCAACTTCCTCCTTGGGAATGCTCAGGGTAACCGTGGCTATCCCATTGTGTACTGTTCCGATGGATTCTGTGAGTTGACGGGGTTCGGACGAACAGAGGTGATGCAGAAGAACTGCAGCTGTCATTTCCTATATGGCTCAGGCACGAGTGAGCAGGTTACTCAGGGTGTGGAGAAAGCACTGGAGAGCAAGGAAGAGTACCAGGCTGAGGTGCAGTTCTACAAGAAGAATGGTAATAATACTCTACTACTCTAGGACTCTTATCATACATTACTTGTACTGCAAGCGGCTGAGAGAAGTGGACAGCTTTAACAGCCAATTTAATACAGTGGCCCCCAAAAAATTCTGGTGTAGACTGTGAGGAATTTCCTAGAGCTGAGTTCCATTACATCAGTGGCTCTCAATTCTCAAAATTGCCCCACTGCTCTGCACACAAATAAGTGCTCTCTTATAGTCGATGATCTAAATGAGGTGTGTTAGATAAGAGGGTCTAATGTCTAATGTCGAATGGAATTGGGAACCACTGCCCTACTTCATATAGCAAAGCACTGTACTGCATTTTACTGTAGTGTCTGTGCTATAACATATCATAGATTTGCAATTGCTGTTGTTGTAACTACTTATTATTGTAATTTGAAATGGAAATTGATTCCAGATTGAAGAACTCTGTGAGATGCTGTTTTCCTGTTTACTATACCGTAAAGCTGCTTTGAAGCAATCTGTATTGTATAAATAAACCTGACTTGACTTAATTTTTACATTTTCTGAATAAATTATGAGTAGTGTTATCTAATCTTGTCACTACACTGTAAAAAGTATTGAGTTGAACTTACTAGGAAAACCTGTGGAAACTGATTGCCTCAAATTTCTCAAGCAAATTAGTTTATCATTTTTGAGTTAATAAAACTTACTGTAACTTTGTATAGGTAACTTGTGTATATGTATAGGTTACCAGAAAACTTGAGTGTTGCTAACTCAATTTGACAAGTTCAGCCAACTTAGAGATGTAAGTTAAGTTTAGTGCACAGAACTCAAACAAAACAGTTCTCTTAACAAGTCTGCTTTGTTCACATTGCTAGACAAATGTGTGGAAACAGATTGCCTTAAATTTCTCAAGTAAGCTGTACTCAAAACTTAAAGTTGTTAATACAAAGACAGAAAACTGATTGTTAGCACAACAATAGGGCATTTATTTGTTTAAAACAATGTTACTTCAAGTCATTATTTTTTAGGCATACTATCAAATCAACAACTTACAAAACATGTCTTGTAAAATCAGTAAGGTCCTTTTCAAGGAAGAGTGGAAGGCCGTGGAGAACTGCTGTTCATCGCCCATTAATGTCAGATGTCTGTACAATTATTTAAAAAACTCATATTTAATATCACTCAAAAGCACAAGCATTCAGCATAACATATAATGAATATCTACTTATTCGGTGCAGGGTTTCACAAAACTGCAAAGTATGATTTTTCATTAAGCACACCTATGTGAATAAGCATATATACTATGTGGAAACATGGAATTGGAGAATTTTCATATTCCATAGCTTCCATTTTTTAAATACGTTTTTCAGCAGTTGAGTATCACTAAGGTTCTATTGCATCAATCAAAACAATTTTATTAATCAAAAATGTATTTGAAAAATTATTAATTAAAAAAAACAGTATTCCATAATTCTTTAGCTCTTTAGTCCCCCAGTGAGCAAGGCAGAGGTGACTGTGGTGAAAAATATGGTGACTACGGGGAGAAAAAAAACATGAGAGAAACCAGGCTACAATGGGCGGGGGTCAGTCAAGCATAATGTCAAACTTAGCTAGATATGTTACTAAATTATATTTGGACTGCAAAAGTCATGTGTCTTTGAGGTATGCACTGAATTTACAGATGAGGTAGCCATAGGTTTAGTGACAGTGTGGGAGTGACAGGTAGCCAATGTCATATTTCTTTGTTCTTACAAGCACTCTACCTGCTGAATTCTGAACCAGCTGCAGCTTATTTATAGAGCCTGCAGGACATCCACTCAATAAAGCATTAGAATAGTGTTGAGGTCATAAACGCATGAATAATTTTTCAGCATTAAAAACAGCATATGGCCATAGCTGGGTAACATAATCACTTTTAAGGTGAAAGAAGGCTGTTCTGCAAACACTGGGAATGTAATTAATTCGATGATTCGTTCATCATCAAAAGACAGATTGATATTAAACATAAACCCCAGGTCCTTAACCTGTAGTAGACGATGTAACAAAACCATGATTGAGCAGCAAATTATATTCTAACAGCTCATGTTTGGAAGTGTTTGGTCCAATAATTAAAACCTCTGTTTTTTTAGAATTAAAAAGAAAGAAATTACTAGCCTTCCAACATCAGTTATCTCTAATACACTCTGCTAAATTGGAAAATTGAGGAGTTTTGTCAAGTCATGAGGAAATATAAAACAGAGTGTCATCTGCATAACAGTGAACAAATGTGTCACACAAAATCTTCTCACACAAACAAGGAATGCAGTAGTCACATCCTTTTTTGACATTTAGAGTATAATACTGAACAGTTAAATAAACAAGAAATTATAAATTGGTAGATTCCAGATATAGGTTATATATTAGGTATAGATTAGATTTCACCAAAAAAAATCCATCCATCCATTCTCTAAGCTGCTTTACCTCTGGGTCGCAGCTCGCAGGGATGCTGGAGTCAGGCCGGAGGCAAGGGAAACATTCTGCCTAGACAGATGTTTATGAAAAATTATTAATTAAAAAAAACAGTATTCCATAATTCTTTAGCTCTTTAGTCCCCCAGTGAGCAAGGCAGAGGTGACTGTGGTGGAAAAATATGGTGACTACGGGGAGAAAAAAAACATGAGAGAAACCAGGCTACAATGTCAGTCAAGCATAATGTCAAACTTAGCTAGATATGTTACTAAATTATATTTGGACTGCAAAAGTCATGTGTCTTTGAGGTATGCACTGAATTTACAGATGAGGTAGCCATAGGTTTAGTGACAGTGTGGGAGTGACAGGTAGCCAATGTCATATTTCTTTGTTCTTACAAGCACTCTACCTGCTGAATTCTGAACCAGCTGCAGCTTATTTATAGCGCCTGCAGGACATCCACTCAATAAAGCATTAGAATAGTGTTGAGGTCATAAACGCATGAATAATTTTTCAGCATTAAAAACAGCATATGGCCATAGCTGGGTAACGTAATCACTTTTAAGGTGAAAGAAGGCTGTTCTGCAAACACTGGGAATGTAATTAATTCGATGATTCGTTCATCATCAAAAGACAGATTGATATTAAACATAAACCCCAGGTCCTTAACCTGTAGTAGACGATGTAACAAAACCATGATTGAGCAACAAATTATATTCTAACAGCTCATGTTTGGAAGTGTTTGGTCCAATAATTAAAACCTCTGTTTTTTTAGAATTAAAAAGAAAGAAATTACTAGCCTTCAAACATCAGTTATCTCTAATACACTCTGCTAATTTGGAAAATTGAGGAGTTTTGTCAAGTCATGAGGAAATATAAAACAGAGTGTCATCTGCATAACAGTGAACAAATGTGTCACACAAAATCTTCTCACACAAACAAGGAATGCAGTAATCACATCCTTTTTTGACATTTAGAGTATAATACTGAACAGTTAAATAAACAAGAAATTATAAATTGGTAGATTCCAGATATAATTTAGATTTCACCAAAAAAATCCATCCATCCATTCTCTAAGCTGCTTTACCTCTGGGTCGCAGCTCGCAGGGATGCTGGAGTCAGGCCGGAGGCAAGGGAAACATTCTGCCTAGACAGATGTTTATTGAAATATTTCTTCCACGTTAACTCCAAGTTTTCCATTTCTCATTCCCCACACAGCTGAGAGACCTGCACAGAGAGAGAAAGAAAGAAAACACAGACACTCAAAAAACCTGCTCCTCGCTCCAAACAAAGTCACTGCCCACACCGCACCACTCACTCTCACCTGGAACGACGTGAACACAGTCAAACAGAGTGACACAAACAGTGAAATCAAGTGCTGTTAACTTCTAAATTAGCACTGCAAGAAGCAATGATTGGCCAATTACAATGTAGGAATGATTATTGTTTGAGGAATGATTATTACTGTTATTCAGGTTTTTTATTCCAACAATTGTTTTTTCTTTTTCTTTTTTTCTTAAAAAGGTCTTGAGTGTAGAACAATACTTTACATTTATTATTCTGGAGCTAATTTAGAAATTTTACTCATTATTAAATAAATTGTGTTTTTGTGTGGGGTTATTTGAATGGTGCACACTCACATGAGAAAATAGTTTTCTATACAAAAAAAAAACATTTTATTTATGTATGGTGCAGGTTTATTTTGCCATGTTTGTGACATGACCGGTGATGTTTCATTAATCATTGGAAGAGAATCCTCTGTAGAAACGGTAGTAGCACTGTGTTTAGCGATGTGAATAGCAGAAAGAGAACGGAACACTATGGTGACAGTGAAGTGCAAAACAAATCACAATTCTGAAAACAAAATAACAAATTACAAACGCAAATGCAAGTCTAAAAAACAAAATAACAATTCAGAAAACACAACAACAATTCAGAAAACATTATAACAAGTCAGAAAACACAATGACAAATTCGAAAACAAAATAACAAGTCAGAAAACATCAGCTCCAGTGGCGCAGATGTATAAGTGCATGTCATTGGCTTTTGACGCGATGACCAGGGTTCAATCCCGCCTTTTGCCAAACTTTTTTTCCCCTCCCTTTTCAAATCTCGTATTAGCAATGGATTTTATTTACACTATGTGAAAATAGGAGTATTTTTAGCAATATGCTATTTACACTAAGTGCAAATACCTATTTACACTATGTTAAAATAGCAGGATTTCTACTATCAAGTATACTACTTGTTGCAAATAGTGGCAATTATCTGCACTTCAGTATTGTAGTACATTATAAAACAGTATGCAATAATAACGTATTGAGTGTAAATTATCATTTTAATTTTAATTATTAAATGGATGCCATCTTATTGGTACAATAAAGCCGTCCCTACACCTACCCTAACCCTACCCTATACTTTATTTTCAACTTTTTGATTTTTTTATTGAAAATAAACGCCTTTACGATGTGACATGAGATTTGAAAGGGGAGAATAAAAAAATTTGGCAAAAGGTGGGATCGAACCCGGGTTGATCGCGT